CTCCTGTGGAGTAAGCCTCAAATCCAAACAAGATGAGCAGTCATTTACCTCAATAACCAGTCTTGTCCTTATTGAGCAAGTGGGAACATATTGATTGGCAGTTCATTGTTGTAATATGCAGGGTCTTGAATTTTGTAAGATAATAATGTTTTTTCTCTTTGAACAACCTGCATAGTATTTTCCAGCAATAGAAAGATAAGCATCCTGGAGGAAATGTTCTTGTCAATTAAAGATTGATTTCCTTATGTCCTGTAACCAAGATGTGTGGTGTCTTCAGCAACAGGATGAGACCATCTAGTTATGATGGGAAACCAAAAGCAATGGCAATAGCCTATATATTCTTTTGAGTGCCTAAGGGATGTTCCTGACCAATAGGGAAGTAACATATGCCTGGGATGGAGATTGCCATTTAATAACATGGTGTTCCAGAAGCAACATTGTTCATCCATGTGGGATGCATATGTTCAACCTAATTTTAAAAGGTTTTAATCAGCTTACAAACTAGTAGGTTTCCATATGCCTTGTTAGTTTTGCTTAACCTGTACCCTAACTCCCTTTCTCCCATGCCAGTGCCTTCATCTCCAGTTAAGTTTTACCCTCATTATTGTCTCACCCTGTCACATCACATATGGTTTACTGCTGCCTCTCATATTTTTAACTGAGTTACAGTATTGTTGGTCTATATATAGCTTCTTCACAATGCTTTATTTTATTTTATTTATTTTTTATTTTACTTATTTTAATTAAGACTTCTCATGCACCCTCATTTCCCTATATCCATCTCTCTACTACTTGTCTGAATCTTTCTGCCTCTGTCATTTGTGCCATCATATAAACTTTGTTTTATTTTTTTAAGTCTTTAAAGAAATACCCTGGAGTTTTGGTGGGGATTTCATTGAATCTGTAGATTTCTTTTGATGGAATGGCCATTTTCATAACACTAGAGTTCCTAATGGTGAACACTGTAGGTGTTTCCATCTTCCCATGTATTGTTCAATTTTTATTGTAGAGATCTTTTATTTCCTTGGCATCTGGTTTGTTTTCTGTTAGTGTGATAAAATATTCTGACCAAAAGCAACATGTGGAAGAAATTGTTTATTTAAGCTGTAATTTTCACATAATAGTCTATCACTTAGGGAACCAAAGCAGGAACTGAAGGCAGGAGCATAGAAGAAGAAAGTGAAACATTGACCATATTGGTATGTTGATTACTGGTTTTCTTTTTGGCTCATGCTCATCTAGCTATCCTATACAGCTTAGGTTTATGTGCCCAGGAATGTTGCTGCTGATGGTTGGTCCATCCCTTGGTCTTTCCACATGAATCAGCAATAAAGACAAAATATCTCACAAGCAAATAATAAAAACTAACCAACACGATTGGTAAGGTTTATTTCCAGGGGTGGTATCTCTCTCTCTCTCTCTCTCTCTCTCTCTCTCTCTCTCTCTCTGTGTGTGTGTGTGTGTGTGTGTGTGTGTGTGTGTGTGTGTGTGTACTATTAAGAATGAATATTAAGAATGGAATTCTTTCCCTGATATTTGTTCCAGTTTGTTTCTCATTGGTATATAGGAAAGGCGGACTTTTGTATATTAATTTTGTATACTGTTACTCCCTTGAGTTAATTAGAGCTAAGTGTTTTCCTATGTAATCCTAGAGTATCTTATATATTGAATTGTATCTGAATGTGGAGATACTTTGAACTATTCTTTACATATTTGTATCCATTTGATTGTCTTATTGCTCTAGATAAGGCTTCAATCACTGTATTGAATAGGAGAGTAAATACTGGATGGAGATTTATCGTGTGGGAGGGAAGAGAGAGCAGAATGGCTGGTAAGAGCAGGTCCCTAGAAAGCAATGGTCAGAAGCCTAGGAGTAGGATAAACGGACAAATAAAGAAGGACCACCAGAAACTCAATATTATAGGAAAAAACAGAAAGGCCACCATAGTTCCAGAGATGGAAAGCCTAGAATTGCCAATAGAACCCTAGAATAGGACATAAATCCTAGAGGGTCACTAGAACCCTGGAAGTAGTGTTAAAAGCCTGGTTATGGAGCAAAAGCCTGGTCAGGAGAGAAGGAAATGCAGCAGGCTAAGTAGATAAATAGAAAGTTCCCCACAAAGAAATTCATGAAAACTGAATTTCTCATTCACAAGGTTTGAAAGAAAGAAGTGCTGAGATGGATTTCAAGTAAAATGTCCTTAGGTAACTCTGGTCACTTGCAAAAAGGAAGCTGGGATAGAAAATCCAACAACAACCCAAATCAAAGGAAATACTTCCCTTTTAGACTTTTAAATGGGAGGGATTTCTGAGATTAGCAGATCAGTGAAATTACTACAAATAGGTTATGTCTGTAATTCATATTGTCCAGCCTATCTTTGGATTGCTGTGTGCTATTAGTTTAGCAGTGTAGTAAAGATAGTAAATATGATATAAGGGGTATAAAGTATAAAGCATTAACTCAGATCATCTTAAGCATAGGATGGGAGAGGTATGCTGTAACTAATAGGTGTGGCTATTCCCCTCTACAGAAGCAACATCTGGAATCTAATACCTGGGATTTTGTGCTTCTACTGCCACATGCACTGGATTCCTATTCCTGTATGCCATATGCTATGTAACCTCTGGCTAGTCTTGAAAATGCTAAACATACCTAAAAGTTCCCTTTCCCTATGAACATAATGTTGAGAAGTAATATTTTTGTCAGTCGATATTGTGTGTGTGTGTGTGTGTGTGTGTGTGTGTGTGTGTGTGTTTGAAACAGGGGCATCAGAGGAAATTGAAGTTGTCTCTCTCCTTCTGGTTTTATGTGGGTACTGGATATTGAATTCAGGTCAACAGACTTAGTAGCTAGAACATTCACCCTGTGAGCCATCTTGCTAGCACAAGTTTTGACAGTTTAATTATGTTATCTTTTTTTTTTTGCTATTTCTCTATCACAGTTCAAACTTCCAGATATTCTGGTGGCCTACTATTCTCAAAAAATTCATGGATTGGTTATGTTTCATGAAGATTTGTGCCTTTAAAGACAGATTTTTTCATGCATAATCTGTTTTCTATTCCTGGATTTTATAGAAATGACTGGACCTATTCATGAGTCTGATGTCAAAATCTTCAATACTAGTAACTATCATACAGACATACACTTGTCATTCTTCCCAGAGGAAACTTCCCTTACAAGAAACCTTTTAATGTTAGCTTCTTTTTTCTTTTCATTGAAAAAATTATAAAATATATTCTGATCTCAGTTTCCTATCCCCCAATTCCTCCCAGATCCTTCCCACTTCCTCATCCACTCAACTGCACCACCTCTACTCTCTCTGTCTTTCTCTGGAAAACAAACAGGCAAACAAAACCAGAATGAAAACTTTAAAAAAAAACACAAGAAATACACACAGATACACATAATTGAAAACCTTAAAAAATGCAAGATCTAAACCTGCAATATACACCAAAAAACAGTGAGATTAAAACGTGATCAAACAAAGCAATAAGAAACAAATGTCTACAAAAATTCATTAAGTTTGCTTTGTGTTGGCAATCTCATGCTGGCCATGTGGGTCTACCTTGAAGTATGGTTAATATACCCAGTGATACTCCATTGCAGAAAACTAATTTTTCTTTGCAAGTGGGTGTCAATTAAAGATAGATTTTTTGGTTAAAAGTGATATCCTGTGTCCACTAATATTAACTCATTTTAAAATTTAAATAGTCATTTTCTAAATAATTGGACCTCATGTTTTGTATAGTAGCTTTTGCCTAGACTTTATTCTTCCCTTTCATATTTTGCTTTAACAATCAGAGAATACAGGATACCTTCTTGTTTAAATTCCAGGTTATCATTTACAAGATGTGATTTCCTACTGTATAACTATAGAAAAACAATTCAGTCATGACTCTGCCATTATGTGCTAATAGACCATTTATTCCAGCCTCCTATAATAGCATGCTTGTAATTCCTCCAAATTTACTGGCAGTCTCCTTAAAGTTCACATTTACATCAAATTCTGGTTTTTCACTTTTTAAGTATTCCTTAACACATGCTTTATCTGCTGTTCTTTGAACTTCTTTTCAGGTCTCCAAAAGCAATATCATTGAAATCGCT